ATAGGGCGCAGTCAGAAATAAGCACTGACCGTATCTCAAATTGAAAATACGTTGTTCTAAAGCAAAATTACAAGAGAATGATCAAAGGTTACTTGGATTTTGCCGTTGGACAGAGAGATATTGTGAATCTCATCTTGATCTAGTCCCAGGCAATGAAGAAGACTTTTTCAGACTCTAATAACTATGCAGATAAAATAATTCAGCTATTAATTATTCAGTAAACAAAAGCTATCCTTATATGAAAAGCAAAATTATTCATACATTGCAATATAAAAAGAAATATCTGCTTGCTACTTAAAAAGAGCAAGGCCAAAAATAGATTTTGCTTTCTTCCATTCTTTCATTGTGTTCAACTTCCTTTGTTCTTCTCACTTTTTTCTCTCCCTTCTCTCCTTGACTCTCTTCTTTGTGATTGTTGCTAATTCAAAAACTTGATGATAATTCATTAACGAAAACAATTTATGCTGCATAAAGCGCTAAATCATATGGTGGATGGCGTCGCTATATATAAAACAGCGATGCAGACTAAACAAATTGATACAGAAATGAGTAAAAAGGCTGCTATTGCCTTTGCAAACTTTAGAAGATAAGTTTTCTGGGAGCTGGAATTTTCGGACAGTTCCTGATTCCTTTGGTAAAAATTTTCAATGTTCCCATCCCATATTTCACTGCACAACTCCAAAGCTGCTTCACTATGAAAGCTTTGAGATGGGGGAATTTCTACAGCTTGCGTGCAACTTTCTTTTACGTTGTCATACAGTTCAGGCTGTTCATTTCCAATCACACTTGCCACTTCGTATTCGGACTGTATCTCGTTTATACTGGAATATGTTGCATCAGACGTGACGACAGTATCTGGTACACAGTCTTCTCTTATACCATTTGATATTTCGTTTACATCAGAATAGGTTTGATCACAAGCAAATTTATTATCCAATACATCACCTTCTGTTGCGTCATGAAGAGCTTTCAAACCTTGTTTTACGTTGTAATATGTTTCGTCACAGACAAAATCAATTTTAGGTTCCTTTGTTTTTGTTCCTTTGGTTCCATTTTGTTCCTGGGTAGGCGATTTAACCTCGGCGTAGTATTCATCTTCCGCTGCCAAACGATTGTCACCAGGGTATGGGACATATTGTTCACCTAAATCAACGCTGTTACTTGGCAAAATAAGGAGAGAATAGTCACTGTCGTTTTGGGTCTCAAAACAACTATCCTTGCTGTTGTTATTAATTTCCTTGCACTGGTCCAGTTTTACTGTTTTAGGGACATTCTGTAGGCTCGATTCTGTATTCTGTACACTATTTACATAGGTAGCATTTTGAGTATCATTTTCGTAGATGGCATCACTGTTTTCATAAACATTGTCTTCAAGATCGCCCATTCCTCTAGACGATTTTTAATACACCAGCAATCTAACAGTATATAAACGATCAAGGAAGGAATTTTCCACTTCTCTCTTCCGGTTTCATTGCAAGGGTCATGTTCTTGCAAGTTTAAACAGACATGGTTGAGGGCAGATTGAAGGCAAATAGCCAGGGGCGTAGCGTGCGGGGGGTGTGGGGGGTGTACACCCCCCCAACTTTCAGAGAACTTGTCGGTAGAATTAAATTTATAAGAGAATATAAAGGTAACAAAAGAATTTCTGTCGGTAAAATATGGTTTTGCACCTCTTACACCCCCCCCAGCGAGAATGGTCACGCGACGCCACTGCAAATAGCTTAGCGCTGTAATATAGGTACTTATTTTAGGTCAGTCTTGCGTTTATGCTTATATTTGTTTATGCTTCTCTTTCAAAAGTTGGCCTCTGGCTTTCAGATGTTGCATATATGAACACTTGTTTTTTATAAGAACCAGTACTGGCTGTTTCGAAAATCTGAGGTTTGATTATTTTTAGGTTGTTCTTAAGCAGTCTATAGGAGGGTTGGGGGAGGGGTTCAGGCCTCATTTTTTAAACAAAGTCGAAGAGATATCCTTCATTTGGCGACAAGTTCGCCGAAAAGGCGCATTTAGATGACAAAAACTTCTCGTTTTTCGAGATAAACCATTGTACAAAAAGGAAATTTTACAATATCTCAATCTCTGCTTGTTCTTAATATTTATTAACTTTTGACCAATTTTGAGGCTCGTGTTCTTATAAAAAACGAGTGTAGTGCCATTTATTCACGTATTGAGACTATCAACGACGGCTCGGGGTAACAGAGGAAAAGATGTCTTTACTGAGACACATAAAGGGGCTTGTGTTCCGTTGATCTGATACAGATTCTGTGTTCCCATGTGCTCATGTTCTCATGTTCCCTTTTCCAAATAATTGTTCTTCAATATTCTCTTAAAAACTGAATCACAATATTCCCCTTGACCCCTGTTAAAAATGTAAGATGTTTCAATGTTCCCTTGAAAAACGGCCGGTTCACTTTTTTCCAATAACCCCCGTTTGAATTTGACCTTGTTGTACGAGGAAAAGTATATAACAACGCTTGTTGCTGAAATAGAAATTGATGAAAATTTTGTGGAAAAAGTGGCAACATGAACTTTTTGGAAATGAAGCATTAAGAACCACTTGCTCAATCAAAGACTTTTTCCGGAAACTTGTAGTTTCAAGATTCTGCTACATAAGAAGCTCTTCAAACTAACAAGAACGACGAAAGGAAAAACATGCGTTAGTGATATCAAAAAAAAAATTTGAAAGTAAAGTCATTGAACATAATGTGGTCGAACATTATTGTAGAAGACGTAATCCAAAATTGACATTGAATCCAGAATGGTAACTTGAGAAGATGTTTATAAAGGAGAAACTTGGAAGGACTCGAGTTTTTATTTTGTAAGTCTCGAAAAAAATTTCATAAAATTAGATTTGAATTTCTATGCAAAGATTTCTTGAATGAACATGTGTGGAAAGTCGTTTCGATGCATGTTTCGTGTCACAATAGATTTTTACACCCGGGATCCCGTCCGGCTTTGTTTTGACAATTCTCTTGGTTTGTACCTGCTAGCCGAAGGGCAGATGGTTTTGGACGGTCCTAACAACTGCAGGATTGTTTATTATAATTAAGCATGCAAGCAGGCAATTGCAAACACCCTCTCTGAAATGCAGCGGAATTTCTAGGCCGCCAAATGCTCATGCGTGGCAACAAGGTATTCCGAAAACGCCCGGATACAAATATTAATATAAAAACATGAAACGGTAAACCTTCACAGCACTACATTATTCTTTCGAGTATAAACTGAGTTTAAAATATCTGAGACACCAATATATCTTTGAAATGCTTCTTATAAAAATGAGGTAACTTTTAAAGGTAGCATTAGAACTTTTTAAGATTTATTAGAGATTTTTTACATGATATAAAGCGATCGTATAAAGCGAAAAACCGCTATCGTGTAGACAGAAGAAGTTCGTTTTCACCTTAGGACTTAGGATTGGTAGCATTCTCAATAGGCAAGCGGCACTGATTGGTCAACCTTACCAGTCATGTGCTCACGTTTCTGATTGGCCTTTTCGATACTCAACTGGGTATTTATATTTCCTAGCTTAGAGTTCTCGATCTATGTTCTGACGTTTTAAGCTCTGAAGAGTTTCAGACGAAAAGATTTAGCATACTCAAATGTTTGCTTTTTTCAAAGCCATTTTTAAGTTTTGTACCACCAAAAGATTGTTTGAATATTTCTTTGCTCCAGTTGATCAAGTAGATAGCGATATTACAGTTACCGATTTTTATTGTTCAAAGACACTTGCAATTTGAAAACTAAGGTCCCAGGATTTGATAAAAGCTTACTGAAGTCCTGATAAGGCTGATTAGGTAACTCTTAACCCTGACCTTCTAATAGGCAAATAAACAGTCATTTGTTATAGCTGATGACCTAATAAAATTCAACAAAACCAATGAGTATTGCTGAAGGACTTTGCCCGGTATGATGGCATGAAGCTTAGTACAGTAAAATCTCGCGTGTAAGAACCTATTTTTCAGAGTTTGGCAAAACAGGTTCTTGTCTTATGCGGTACATATTGACAGTTTAGGCCAAATAGGTTCTTAATAAGGTTCTTAATTTCTACATGAGTAGATTTTGTTGTTGATAATCAGAGAAATATCATTCAATCTGGACTATCCTTCATTCTAAATACTTATTAGGGTATAAATGTTGCCAAAAGTTCAGCAACAATTGATCAATGATAAAGTACTGTATATAAAATGGCCGCAATTATTGTTTCGTAATAATAGTTCAAATTTAACATACATTGTGCATTTTGAGATTTATTTTAAAAATTCAATTTTCTGTCACCGTTTTGGTTTTTGATAAAAAGGTATATAAATCAAATGATTAAATTTCACATATGATAAACCTGTTGGAAATTGTTTGTCAAAACTGATTCTTGTATTTTGAAGTATTAAAAATGCAAATTTCTGCCAGAAGGTTCCTAAATTCCTAGGTTCTAACACGCGGGTTTTTACTGTATTAATCGTGGAAAAGAAGGAAAAATCATCAGTATTTCCAACTTTATCATCACGCCAGATAGTATTAACAACATAAAACCGAATTTAGAATAGTGATGATCGAACAGACACGATGATGTATGGTTAAGTGAGTTTATATGGGTAGATACCTCATGTAAGTTTCACAAAAATAACGACATAGGAAAATGAAAATTAAATTATATAAAATGATGACCTGGAATGTCAAGATCACTGGCCTTTTGGAACCAGATCTGGTATGACGTGATTTCAAATTGACAATCTCTGGTCAAATGAAACTGTCTTTAATCAAAAGAAAAATGATTCATCGACACTTGCTTGATAGCAATGGATGTATTGGTAGCATTGAAACTGTAAGAATTATTAAATTGTACCCATCTAGACAGCATAAGAGCATACCAAGGATGTATGTTGACAAATTTATATTAAAATAAAAACAACAATGGCATGAAAAAGCTGTTGTTTATCATTTAACCTAAGAAAAGTCAGAAACTTAATGATTGGAATTTGTAAAATATAGAAGCTTCATACCTCGTCTCTTCGTCTCTAAACTCGATTTCTCCGACGACATCCTCATAATCGTCTCCACCACCTTTGGCGCTGCCCTCAATAGTGTGGTAAGGTACACGAACATTTGATCTGGCTCCCAGCAACCGAATCACCTTGATTGAGATAGTGCCAATGGTTTCCATTACTTCAACGCTGTCTTGCTCAAACGTGAACACACCAGGGTAGTCATCATCGAGGATAGTTATAACAGCCGTGTCTGGGTCGCCAATGGATGCCTCATTGCTTACTCTTTCGACTCCATCATCTCCCATTACACGAATACCTGTTAACTTCACGAAGAAGTGCTCGTCCAGCTCAAAGATATCATCATCAACCTAGAAGTCGAAATAGAACGTTAGGAGGAATTCGTCAAATACACAAAAAGAAAGAGATTTACTTATCATTTGCTTTTATTATCATTTGCTATGTGATTAGGCAATTTTTGTGTGCGTCAACATAAAGGGGGGGGGGCAGATTGAGGATTCGTGGAATGGAGAGGGGGCATTGGCCAAATGAAAGCAGTCAAGCAAAAAAAGAGCAGCGAGTTGAGCATAAGTCAAAGTTGGAGAGTTTTGGATTGCAGCATTCCAAAGCAGGGCGTCCTATTTTCACAATGAGGGGGGGGGGGAGGTGATCAAGCGACACGAATCAATGTACTTTTATGCCTTTGACTAAAAGGCGCTTGAAATGACAAGAGCTGGCAGTTGGACTCGGTTTATGGTAGTTTGACTCGGTTTATCGTTTCAAAGTCGTTTCAGTTAATTATAAAAAAGATGTTAATATTTGATGATCAATAAACTAGAGGACGGAGAGCGGGGGTAACTAGTTGAGTTTGTTTGTGAATGGGAGTTCCTTCATTTTTCATCTCTGAATAAATAGCGATTTTGAGTTGAAATGATGCAAGCGATGCAGGAAGAAGAGAGCCTTTCGTATACCATGAAAAATCAGATGAATTTAATCACAACTTGGAGACATGAAACCGATACAAAAGTTAATATAATACATATAATCCTACAAACGAGGAGATAAATTTGTTAAGAGCAAGTAAGATGATATTATTGGTTTCTTATTCAATCAACAGTAGCTTTTATAATATTCTTAACCAAGACGGCGGAAAACGTGGGCAAATAGTTCAACAAAGATGCTTGAAATTAAACTAAATCAAAGATCAGTTCTATCACCATTTTATTTCACAAAAAAAGAAAGAGTTATTGCTATAGGCACAGAGTTACGTTGGTTATGAAGCAAGATGAGTCGCAATTTGTGCATTTACTCTGCACATTAATCAACAACCCCCGAACCCCAACCGCAAGTCTACATGTTTGCCGAATGGGCTAAAAATTCAGGGGGGGGGCTTAGTATGGATCCTCCCCGAAATTATTGCTTCATTGAGTAAAATTGCACGAATAGGCCTGAATTTCGATAAAGTTTGACTGATTGGGAGGGGGGAGGACAACAGTACCCCAGCCTATATGCCAGCTTCGTCTTGATAAATTGCTCCACTGTTTCTTTTTTTAATATGTGCGTTTCCATTGAGTCATCTATTTGAATAATTAGCTCGAAATAAAATTTTCCAAAAATACATCGTTTTAATATCAGATAGCTATAAATTCCAGTGGCTTTTTCAACCGAACGGAGACTTTAAGCCCATTAGATATTTGAAAGCTAGCAATAAAAGTTAGAGATTTGTACAGATATGCGCTGGAATGAATGAAAGTTCTACACAATGATTAGGCAGCAGGTTTTAAAGCCTATTGGATCAATTTTAAGAACAGGTTGTTGGTGAAATCTTCTTTGCGTGTCTTACCGAATACCCGTAAGAGCGTTCTAAATATTCTAAAAATTTTAAATTTTTATTCGGCACTTTACAGAAAAATGATTTTGAAGCAAATACTTTTAAAAGTAGGAATCATCTAAAAGATAACATTTTAAATTCCCCGACGAAAGAAAACAACCTGTTACCAGAAGCATTTTTCCATTAAAAGTTCATTATAGTTGATAATATATGTTTATCAAATTTTATGAAATATCTCCGATATCGGCAGGTGATAAAGTTTTCCATCGATTTTACTATCAAAAATTTAATGAAAATTCTCAAGTGATATATTTAAGGGTAGTTTCCATAACGCTAACTTTTATTTAAGCTTTAAAGTAACTTTCTGCTGGAATTGGTGAATTTACGTATTTGCTATTTATTTGATAATTTTTTCTTTACTGAATCGAAAATAGATTGATATTGTGCTAAAACATCCTATACTTATAAATTTTCGTTTCAGTTCAGTTCAGTTCATATATTTTAAAATTTCCTTCAAAAGCTGATATATCTTTTAGAAAGAGTGTTAACTTACCACACCAATGGATATAATCTTGCTGGTTTCTCCAGGTTTGAAACAAAGGGTAGTGTTAACTGGCTCATAATCCTCATACTCGTTGGCTGTTCCCTCCACAGTTTTGTAGTCGACATAAACAGTGCTGAACAGGTCTTCACCAACCCGCACCAATGTTAAGTACACCCTGCCACAACTTTCCACCACCGTGTATTCTGCTGGGTGGAAAAACACACGACAGCCTGAGGCATCACCCCCATTGTGAGAAATGTCCTTCATTTCCATTGATTCCGCTGGTACTGCTTTTGGTCCATTTGCGGCATGCGCGTGCTCTTTGCGTTCGTGCGCGCGAAGCACGCTTCCACTGCCTGTCATTTTTCGGGTTGCTTCAATACGGTAGAAGGCGCGGCTCTTGTGCTGCAACTTGAGGTTTTCTTGCTCGACCAGGTGGGCAAGGGTTTCTGAATCAGCTTCAGGGGCCTTTTGTTTGGCTCTGTGGTAAGCATCCATTGCAAGACGCCGTCTCATTTCCTTCAGATCCTCTGCTGTGACATCACTTTCATCGTAGGCATCGCCATCATAGTCAGCAAGTTTTTCACTCTCACCTATGTTGTGATTCTTTTCCACATCTCGGCTTTCGCCATTTGCTCTTTCCACCACTGCAACTTGGACAATATCACCATCCCCAGTCTGGATAACTGTCTGTCCATGTAACTTTCTCTTTCGAATCTTCTTACGAACAAACCTATAGAAGTTCATTTTAACATCGATCATATAGGCAATACCGACGAACGCAGGGAAACACAGTAACGTGAAAATTCCCTCCCATACCTCGATTACCCCAACCGAAAAGACTGATATAATAAGGTACATCCAAATGTAAGCAAAGATTGCTGCCGACGATGTAAATGCAAACACGCGAAGGAATTTTATGCGGCGAACTTCATCATCTGGAATAACACTGGTACAAACAGCAGTTATCATGAATAAATTGAAGGCTGCAGAGCCGACAATTGTCGAAGGTCCTAATTCTCCTGCATCAAAATTTCTGCCAATGATTTCAATAACAGAGAGAAGAATTTCAGGGGCAGATGAACCTAAAGCCATTAGTGTAAGATTTGAAACAGTTTCGTTCCAGATTTTTACGGTGACTAGCTTCACCGTTCCGGTTGCGCGGTCTTTGACTTTAATTTCTTTCTCTTGTGATGTGATTATTTCGATTGATGCCATAAACCTGTCAGAAATGATTGAAATTCCGAGGAAAAAGAAGAACAGTGATATCATGTAAATGAATGCCCTCGCCGCTTTAGCCCCTTTTGAATCGTCCATAGATCCCCACGATGGAAGTATAACGCCGGGAACGCACTTGATCCTTTCAGCATTCTCGCAAATCATTACAGTCTTATTGCCAACACGTTTAGGAACCCTATCACCAGCCTGAACATCATCCACCAAGACGGCAGCCATCACAAACAGAGCAAGGCCACAAAGCAAAGCTCCTCGCTGCATCGTTTGACCGGCCATTTTTGTTTGTAAGCGCGACTGCCGAAGACAGAATCTTTGCTGTTCCTCGATGTAATACGGTCCGGCCTAACCACAGCAGAAAAACTGGATGCAGCGATCTGGACGTATCCCTTACTCCATGCCTGCTTGTTGCGACCTTATCATTGCTAGTGGTTTACTGCAACTAAACAGAAGGCAAACAGTATGGCTAGAAATAAACAATAAACTCTTCCGAGTATTTATAATAAACCTTCGTTTTGAAAAGAAAGAAATTAGCATACGTTCCTGTGTGCAGCTGTTCAATAATACTGGTCTCCACGAAGTCGATAAATGCCAACGAGAACAACTTAACCAATTTACAACCAAAAACGAAAGTTTGGTAAAGTGGTTGTGTGTAGCAGAGCGCATTCAAGTCCAGCAACTAGAAACAGTTTCTGTATCAAACTCGAAACTATTCAAGCATTAAATATCAACGAGTCTTAGGCTCCCTTTGATAGCATTAGATCTTGCTATTCAATGGCTCGATTCTTCGACAGGTGCACCGGCCTCGCTGCCTCTTGCACAACACACCGCCATTTGATCTCGATAAAATAATATACATTCAAAGTCAGTTGAAAATTATATCTACAAGTGATTCCTGTTGTACATTCGGCCGTTACTTTGTGAAGCACAGGGCGTGAGGTTCTCCTCCGCTCAAATATAATAAATTATTTGTGATGGAGATCAGCCCGCTTTGTTGTGCTCAATAGAAATGTCCATTGTTTCCATTGTGAGAGTATACGTGAATGGAGATCAAACTCTGTTTTCAAACCTGCTGGACAGTTCGAAGAACTTGCAGCATGGCATTCGCTCTCATAATTTCTCTCCTCTGGCCTAGTGTGTAGAATAACAAATCTTCTGAGTTTAATTAAGAGCAGTAGTTGAAGAAAATGAGCGAGCTAACGACCCTTTGGCACTGAAGGTTGGAAAGTTCAAAATTGGTCTCGCGAGGGCAGCGCGCGTGAAGAGAAGATTAGAGTATAGAAAGATCGATAAAAGTATTCTTTAAAACAGAAATCTATTGTCATGTAAAATTAGTCCTTGCCTTTGCATGCACACTCTCCAGTTACTCATTTATTTGTTTTCGAGACGAGGAATACAATTCAACTGACTAAATGTGCGAAACGCTTTGAAAAGTTAGCAGTTTGCAATATCGCAGGGTTATTTGGCTAGAAGCGTAGAACACTGTAATATTAGCGGTTGGAAACCACAAGGCAAATAAAACCCCTTGTGACAGATTGCATCATGTAAGCCCTCTAAAATGAGAAGATTTTCTTGGATTTTAGATAATTTGATTAAAAATAAGAAGAGAGCCAATTTTATTTTGAAAGCAGGTAATTACTTTAACAGCCGAGGTAACTAGGACCAATTTTACTTCCAAAATTCTTCAGCATGGGGGGCCATTTTCACTATACAAGATGGATGCTGTAAAAAAATTTTCCAGGAAAAATAATTTGAGGCAAGCAACCCTCATGTAAATACGAACAATGTACATATTTATATAAATATTGGCTTATACCTATTTTGCCTTATTTTCCTTTCAATAATCAGATGGTGAAGTCAACAAACAATTTTTGAAAATTCTAATGCTATGTTATTTTTCCTGTTTTATAAAAGCTAGAAGACTTTATTTTTAAAATAGGGATTCAGGTGACTATACTAGCAAAATTATAATGAAAAATAGCTGTTTCTAGCTGTTTAACTTTGTTTACGTTTGGTTGTGCTAGAAATGGCTGTAAAATATTAAGGTTATGATGTTATCCATAAAAAACAAAGATTTTTTCTGGAATACTTATAACTGTCACTGTAAGAACATGAATGATTATGATTATTGAGAAATAATGATAATATGCAAATAATGAATATTAGGGCAGGGTTATGCTGGTATCAACCAAGGTGGAAACTGTTGTCATGGTTACAATGACGAAAGTGGAAAATAACGGTACACCACGAAAACCAGTAATCCATCGAGTCTACAAAAAGCTCAGTTTGTGATCAGAAAGTTATTAGAGGCAGTGAAAGTTGCTAGGAAATTTCCGAGAAATTTTAGATAATTCAGAAGAACAGGATAAGATCAGTGCTGTAAAAGACAAACAAATGTAGCCTGTTTCTGAACAAAGTACCTATTCTGCATGCTAGTTAATTCAACATCTACATATTTACACCCTCAATGTATTCAAAAATCACGCCACAAGCAATTACACGCCACAAAGTCCTGCCCCTGCGGCTCTCTCGCTGTTTATAACCGCGTAGAAGCGACCGAAAAAACATTGTCGCTACCCTACTCCGGACGCACCTTTTTAAATTGATTTTGTGAGGAAGGATTCTCAAAGTCTTGTTGCCTGGAAGTAAGATGAATACTTCTGTTGACATTCCCAATAAACTACAATTTTCTATTTGCTTCTTATAAATATCTTCCTTACATTTAATTATGTAGGGTTTGCAAGGTCGAGCTCTCCTTTAATTGCCAAAGGATGGCGATCTTTCATTTTTGCAGAAGCCAAGAAATATGCCTCAGGCTACACATGTCGCAATCTGCACTGTGTTATAGTTAAACATTCATGGTGGCAATTTAAAAACTTATTTAGCCGTACCATTATTAAGTGAGATAAGATAAAGATATTCGTAATACGCATGTGACGTCATCTTCGACACCAATTTCATGTTTTCGCCGTCATCAGTCCAGTCTCTGTAATGATATCTTCACTTGAAGCTAATCAACGAACAGGTGCTTGTATTTGTGTAACCAGTTACGTGAAATGGAGTTCCTTTGTTATGAAATTTGTTTTCAAAACTTGAGTTGTCACTAACAAAAATTTTGCTGCTAGATTTGATTTCTGGCGAGTTTGATTGCGTTATTAGTGCCTTTTTGTAGTACCAGCAATTAGCATTATAATCTATTTCTTAATCCGAGGAAATTATACTTAAGGCAATTTCCTGGTTGGTCGTTTTGCGCGTAGTTTCTTTGCTATTCCAGGCATTGTTCAGGAAAAAGGATAGCAGAAATGAGCTCGCTTTCCTTTAAACTGCGTAGCTGGTTTTTCGAATATATTCTTAGCAGCAGTGGTTGTAGGGACTGCGGGATCGGGGCCAAAAAGATCTGCGGGGCTAGGGGCCAAAAACATCTGCGGGGCCCTTGTTCTTTACAATTTCTATTTTTTTTCTTAGGTGTGGGGCCCCTTTTGGCTACCATAAGCCCGGGGCCTGGGGTCATGGACCCCCCGTAAAACCGCCAATGATTGTTAGAAATCGTTGCGCTGGATTTCCTTGCGTAAGAAGCAAGGTGAAAACCGTCCCCCGATAGCATTTTTTGACCAGGGATTCCCCAAGAAGAATAAAATGATTTGGGCTTTTTTCCATTTTCCCATGTCCCCTGCCAGCTGAAATTTTCTGTCTGCAGTCTTGAGTTCCCCTTTCGAAAATTTATTGTCTTTTGAGGTCAAATCTGGAGCTCTCTTCAACAGTTCTCTTTGAGGCCCATTTGCCCAGCCAAATCTTACCCAACCCCTGATAACAGCAGGGTTGGGAAGAACGCTAACAAGCAGTGCGATTGCTAGCATTTTCGCTCTAGAATGGTGTTCAGGTCTCATTTGCCAACAAAGTGAGTGAGACAACCTTTAATTCTTGACAAATTTGACATATTCACCGAAAATAACACCCACACATGGCTAAAAATCCTCTTTTTGAGATAACACTTTTTTCAAAATTGCATTTTACAGTAGCTCAGCCTCAGCTTGTTCTTAATCTGTTCTTAACTTTTGAGGCTCATGCTTTTGTGAAATTGTTCTTATTAAAAAGAGAGTGTAATAATTGTTGAACTGTATTATATTCCAGGTTGTGTTGTGGCCAACATTATCACAGGTTTGCATGTTGGAAAAGATTTTGCATTCGCTGGGTAGCCGTAGTACACATTGCAAAAATATGTTATCTGTTTATTCTTTGCACGATTCGCTGAAGATGGACTAGCAACGGCAGTCTTAGTTCAAACTTAGTGATGTTTAATTGCTTAGAAAAACGTAAATTGGTGAGAAACACTTAATTATTAACTATGTTTGCTAAGGAACATGTTTTCAGAATCTTTTAAAACATTCCTTGAGTTTAAAACTTAATTAAAGCTCTTCTTACAATTTATGTCTTTCAAACAATGATACTCACTACCAACGAGCAGTCAAAAGACCATACTGTAATTAATAAAATTAGGTACACGTGATGTAAAATAGCGCTTAACAATAACAATCCTCCGCGAGAATCGTCCAGAATACATCAGAGAAAAAAGCAGAGATTGTAGCTGCATACAGAGATTTGAATAACAGGGGTTTTAGATTATACTAAATTTCATCCAGTTATAGGTTATGATATTGCTAAAGATTCTAGAAAGTAGCTGCTTCACCAGATTACCTGATTCTTATTTAGAGAAGCAAAGCAGGCTGTTTCTCAAAATGAGTAAGGAATTGGCAATTTTTATCAAATAGAGACCTCAACAAAATTCAAGCGCCTCTCCAACTGAAAATTGTGTTTCTACTGCCTTTAGTTTAAAAGATCTGTTTTAAATGCAAGGTCCCAATTATTCAATCAAAGGAACAAATATCCTAATTTAAGTAAATTTCTTATTCATCCCTCTTCGATCATAACACAAGTTTTCTTGTCCTTTATTTAATATGTCATTCATGTAAAGCAGATCTTGAAAAACTATATCTTAATAGCAGTTTGATCGTAATATTCACATGTGCGAACGCCAAGCTTCACATCTTGCATTATCCAAAAATTATCATATTTTGCTTTCATTAGCCTCCATCACTGCCATCCGGGCTCTAAAAGCCATCTTGTTGCGACAGAATTTTTTATATGTGGCACATGAAGTATATTTCTGAGACAAGCAAACTGCAGCCGAACATGAATTAGTTTAATGTTAAAAATCTGGTTTCGTTATATATTTGCAGTTACTTGTTTAAATTTTGTGGCAGCTTTTCCCTTGCTAATCGCATTCGATGCGAATCAATCCCAGAATGGAGAGGGGAGAGGGTCAAAGTGGTTGTTAACTGAATAATTTGGGACGAAAGTTGAATACTTTTGACGTTATAGCATTAAACATGATCGTTCTACGTACGTGTTCAAGTTGTGCGGTTTTTAATTTCGTGACTCATTATGAAAAAGAATCAGTCGACGAAAGAAAGACTTTTATCGTTTATCGAAATCTAATCAACGACTCTGCACAACACATATGGTTTTTAATTAACAACTGTGATGGAAAGTAGTTTTCTGCTTGACTTAATCAGGACCTTCTGTATTTATTACATACCCGTTGCCATAGTGTTTTTGTTGAGACTGAAAACATTCAGATAGGGTATATTTTTACGAATCTTTTATCATTGAAGTAAAAATGAAAAGTGGATCTAGGGATAAAACTGTCCACTAAAAATGCATTTTGAAGCCCAATTTTTCATGCATTTGTATATATCGCGGATTCTTGTTTAAGAACATCTATAGCGGTCATTTTGCAAGAGTAGGCCAGTAACAACATATACTTATGTCACCAAATCCTATCTAGATCTCAACATGTGTACACCAAAAAACAGTTACGCCTCAAAGGGCCTGGGATCTACACTATTGCTATACACAATCAGGTCGCAGAAAAGTGTTTGTAATTAACAACA